GCCACTCAAATAAAAAAAAAAATGTGTGAGTTCGCGAGGAAGTACGGATTAGGCTCCTCTTATCCCGAGTCATTCCATGAAATGGGATAATGAGCCCGGAAAACCGGTCTAGGAAACTCGGGCAAACCCCTCGAGGTTAAACCTAGATAATCTCATCCGGAAAGCTCGTTTTGAAAAAGAAGCTCACGTAATGAGTTCGTGAGAGTTGAAAGGATTAGGCTCTGCTTGGCTCGGTTAGTCTTTTAGATAAACCGAGTTAATGAGAACGAGAAACTAGCTTAGGAGACTCGGGGACATACCTCGAGGTTAAACCTTGGTAATAATCGTCCCAACGGCTCTCATTTGGAAAAAAGTAGCTCATAAATAAAAAAATATCTAAAAAAATAAAGAGAAGAAAATTGGGGAGTTGGCTTATTGGTTTCGTGTTTATCATGTTTTGTAGACCATTTACAGTTTTTGCACGTATATGTATACGAGGGAGTTTGACTCGAGTAATCATTTGTGGCATAACTTGGGACGAGTTTTTGTTTCGTATGGATTCGGTAATGTGGGGACCGTATTTCAGATTGGATTTTGATTTTATGGATATTCAGATGAAAATGAGAGTTTCGTTTCGCATGCTCGTTAATCTTGCGGAAAAATTGGAGATTTCGTCCTGTAAGTGGCACTAATTTTAGTTTTGGTCCTCTAAGTGGACAACTTTTATAAAACGTCTCGTAAGTGCAAAAAACCCTGAAATTTCGCCATGTGACCGGCTAAAGTGGGTAAATTTTACCTGCTAGCCTACGTGGAATTTTTAGATGATTTTTCTTTTTTTTTTTTGTTGAGTTGTAAAGCTGACGTGGCAGATTATGTAGATAATTGCAAAAAAGATGTAAGGAGGGGGTTTCGAACCCGGGTTGCAAGGCAACCCAATTGTCTCATGAGTCACTTGGTCTAACACAACTTTAGTTATATATTTGACTTTACTTTTATATGAATCAAAAACTTTTTACTCGAACACAATATACATATATATATATATATATATATATATATATATATACTTAATTTTTAAATAAATTATATAATATATTTAATATATAAAAAAAATAATGTGTATACTAAATAAATATATTAATGTCAATTCATATTAAATTAATATATATTAAATAAATAATTAATAAATATATTTCATTTAATTAAATATTCACTAAATAAATATAAAATATATTTGATTAACATTTATTTGTACACTACATAAATATATTTAATAATAAATAAATAAATATATTTAATATACATATATAAGTTATATATTAATTAAATACTTATTAAATAATAAACAGTTTATAAATTTATTAAATACATATATTAATAAAGAAATATATTGAATAATATTTATCTATTAACAAGTATATATATTTATTATTTATTAATTAATAATATTCATTAATTAATTCTAATTTTTTAATTTATAAATATTTATTTAACTAATAAAAGTTTTTAGTAATAACATTATACTAATGAATGTATAATATATTTATTTATTACATTATTTGATATATTTATATATGTTAAAATAAATATATTTAATAATAGGGTTAATTGCTAAATAAACCTTAACCTTTTTGCGTTTGGCAATTATATCCCAATCTTTAGATAATTGCAATATAATCTCGACCTCAATTTACTTATTGCAAGTCAAACTTAATATCGGTTGGAACTTCAAAAAATTGGTCGATTTGAAGGTGGTTCGAACAGAGCGGAGCTCATATTTACCGATTTACTCCAAATCTAGGAGGAGACTCATCACCGGTAGCTTACATTGACGTGGAATTTTTGGCTTTGTGCGTGGATATACATTAAATACGTGGAAATTTTTAACTTGCTACGTGAATGGCATAAAAACCCGTGTCTATGGACGACTTGGACACAAAATCAATCCACAAATCCCTAAAATCAATCACTCTGCACCCAAATTTGCAACAAGTAAATTGAGGTCGAGATTATATTGCAATTACCCAAAGATTGGGATAAAATTGCCAAACGCAAAAAGGTTAAGGTTTATTTAGCAATTAACCCTTAATAATATAACAAATAAATATAATAAATTAATTAAATATATATTTAATAATATAATAAATAATATAATAGAAATTTAATAATAGAAATTTAATGAATATATTTAATAAATATAATTTTTTAATATATTTAGTATATAATTATTTATAAAAATTATATATGTTTATTAAATATATTTATTAAAATATTTATTATATTATTAATTATATTTATTTTGTGTACAAATAAAAGTTAATTAAGTATATTAATATTTATTTAGTAAATATATAATTAAATGCAATCTATTTATTAATTATTTATTTAATATATTAATTTAATATCAATTTCCTTTAATATATTATATAAGATATTATATATTTAAAATTTAAATAAATATATTATATAATTTATTAAATATATTTGTTTATTAAATTATTTTATATATTTATATATGTTAAAATAAATATATTTAATAATAACATAAATAAATTTAGTAAAATATATTTAATAAATATATTTAAATAAATAATATATGTAATAAATATATTTAATTATAATGTATTTTCTAATATATTTAATATATAAATATATTTATTATGTAATATATTTGATATAATTAATATAATTTTATTATGTAATATATTTAAATAAATATAATTAATATAATTTTATTATGTAATATATTTAAATATCTTATCTTATTTATATAAATAAATTTATTTATATATTACATATATTACGTAATTTATTAAAAAATTAAGTATAATTATATATATATATATATATATATATATATATATTATTTTTGGATAAAACATTTTGATTGATATAAAAATGAAGTCAAATATATAATTAAAGTATTGTTATGTCAAGTGGCTAGTGTGGTCATTTGAGTGTCTTGCACCCCGGGTTCGAATCCTCATCTCTATATATTTTTTGCAATTATCCACATATCTGCCACGTCAGCATTACAATCATAAAAAAAAAAAATATCAGCTAAAAATTCCACGTAGGCTAGCAGGTAAAATTTACCTGCTTTAGCCGGTGACAGGACGAAATGTCAGGTTTTTTTGCACTTATGGGACGTTATATAAATGGTGTCCACTTAGAGGACCAAACCTAAAATTGGTACCACTTACAGGACGAAATCTCCAATTTTTCCTTAATCTTGGACTTCTCGATTTTTCTTTCGACCTACTTGTTATTTTGTTTGCTTGAGGACAAGCAAAGAGTTAAGTGTGGAGGAGTTGTTTGTTATGTTTTTGTGCTTATTTTCTTGTGTTTTATGTGATTTATTCGAGTCATTTTATGTTCGTTGTAGTGTCTACCGGTTCACTTTGTCGTGTTTTATGTGTTTTTGTTCTCGTTGTGTGTTTTTTTGTATTTTTTCGTATTTTTGCGTCTCTTTTGGTGTTTTGTTTAGGTCATATTTACAATTTTGGGAAGACGTGTCATTCATGCTTTTCGAACCATTTAGCCACTTAATCGACCCGCGAACCGACCCGCAAAGAACTCCCATGGCACCTCAACACTCGCTGCGAAACAGTTTTGGCGCCCCGGAAGACGGCACCCGTGAGAACTCCACTGCGATTTATTTATAACTCCCCTCGGGGTCCCTGAATTTATTACATGGCCAAATGGAGACCCACTATTAATTTCATTCGTCATGAATTTGGTTTTGACTTATGAAAATTAATGGGCCTTTGAAAGCTCTTCTCTTGCGAATGTTGAGTTGGGTAGAGTTGCACTCGCATCATGCATTAACTCTCGGTATTTTGAGATGTCCGTGAATTTAAGTTAATATTGTTTTGAGGATATCAACATTAGCAGTTAAATTCAAATGTGTTTAATCTGTAAAATTATTTTCGTGTTTCTCAAATATTTATCATGTCGTTCAATCCGTTATCTTTAATTCTAAAAGAAAATCAACTTATGTACTGGTCCTAATTACATTGATTGGAAGAGGAACTTAGACACTGTGTTGACTTCTGAGGGTTATAAGTTTGCGATTACTGAGGCTTGCCCGACAAAGCCCGCGGCTGATGCTCCTGAGCAGGAGAAAGGGGAGTATGTCCGATGAAAAAAGGCTGATGAGATGGCGAAGTGTTACATTCTGGCATTCTATGTCAAATGTGCTTCAACATCAGCATCAATCTATGAACACTGCGGCATATATACTTATCAATCTCAGAAATCTGTTCGGACACCAGTCTAGGACTGCTAGACAAGAGGCCATGAGTGCTATGATGACTACGCACATGATAGAGGGCACACCCCGTAAAAGAGCATGCTCTCAAGGTTTTGTGAGAGGTGTGTCTGTGGGTACTTGTGTGGACTGAGTAACATGAAAAAGGGAGACTCTATTGAGGGTCATTTCATATTGTGTATGTTAAATTCATATTTTCCCATTGAAATCTGAGTAGTCTTTGCGAGGCGTCCCCCTTTTCTTTTAACTTTAGATATTTTGTTAAATAATTGCCAGCCCAGTTAAAGTTTTCTTTGTTATTGCCCTTGCAGCTGCTTTTTTAAGTTCCATAAATTCACAATTATTTATTTAAAAAAAAAAAAAAATCGTGTTCACCATTGTCTTATTCATATCGATAGTCTAAGATATATGAAAAAAAAAAATATATATGGAAATGTTATATTTGATTGAAGCCAATTACACCATGACATTAAATATTTATTTATATCTATTACCAATCCTAATTCCTAAACCAGAAAATATATTATTATTGGAAGATGCTGGGGTTTCATTGTGGAACCATTTCGTCGGGTTTGTAACCGTGAAATCAACTATATCTGACAGTTACATGATGATTTAACGATTACAAATCCTGACGGAATGGTTCCGTAACAGGATCTTAGCATTTCTCATTATTATTATATAATAAAAGCTAACAGTAGGAAGCATATATTGTTGTCAATGAAGCATAAGGACAATTGAAGCTACGTACCTTGATAAGATTTTGAATGCCAGGTGGAGGGCCTCTAGAAGAAAATTCTGCAACAACAGGAGCTGGCGTGTAATTTAGGATTGTCGTCGTTGGTAAAATTTTCGCCAATGTTTTCCTATGAACGTCAAATGATATACTCCATGATAAGCAACCGACATTTTGGAATATCTATCTATATATAATTATATTATTATTATTATTATTATTATTATTATTATTATTATTATTATTATTATATTTACTAGTATCAACCTGAACGATGCACCGTGCACGGGAGCATTTATTACATACTTGCATTTCAAAAGGTAATTTGTATCATACATTTTTTTTTTTAATTTAAAATTGGATCCGTTCAGCTAGAAAATTTTAAAACATGATTTACTTCAAAATGGTAAATATTTGAAATGATGGAGTCTATAAAGATAAAAAATATTGTATATAGTTGATAATTCATAATTTCAAACTGGACATTTCAAAACGTGTTTGGCACGTTTTTTCTTTTCTTAAATTAGATTTTATTTTTAAAATATTTCTTTTAAAAGAAAGTCAAACATTTAATTAAAAAGTCAAAATTACTATTTACGTATTTTTCCAACAACCTCTTTTCATATACTTTAGTATAGATTCAATCATACATTCGTTAATTTGAGAGTATTTTTTTACCTCTTTGAGTTGATATAAGTTCGTATCCAGCTTCCATCTCGTTCGGTAACAGCTGCAATAGGATTAGTTCCATAAAACAATTGCTCTTGGCGTTCATAGCCACTTATCGCTATCATACCAATTACTCCTAATTTCTTGAGTGACTCGAACTTTTCTGTTGTTTCATAGTTGTTGTCATCGTTTTCGCATAAAAGTAGTTTTCCCTTCACTTTCTTTGGATCTAATGAACCTGGGAAACAATGGCTGAAAAAAGTGGCCATGCATATGATCATGATCATCATCACCCACAAACTGTCCCAGTTGACACAATAAAATATACAAAGCTGCTACTTGATGAAAATTAAGTTGGTTTGTTAAATAATATTCATGTGTATTTAGTTTGAGAAGCCTCAAATGAATTAATAATACCTAGCATTATATGGATCCCGTGGGTTGGTGGCTGCACGTACTGCGTCAATTAAAGGATAAGATTTACTGAGACGACAAAAGTTGATGCCTCCACCCTACAACATGATCAAATGGAGTGATTATTTGAGTATATCATATAATGATTATATTTTTTAGAATTACGTAATTATTATTTACCTTAATGCTTGTTTTTTCATCAAACAAAATATCAGCCTCCAAGTCACGATCAATAGTGGTGGCTCCAACAGATAGGATCCAAGGGGCATTATTAGTAACACTCTCAGGATCAGGGCCTTGATTCCCTGCGGAGCCCACAACGGTGACCCCTCGAGCTGCAGCATGGAAGGCTGCAATATAGACTGGATTCGCAAGAAAATCAACATTTTCTGGATAGCGGTATGGAATTGATATTACATCGACCCCGTCATGGATTGCATCGTCTATTGATTTGAGGATTGCAGATAATGTAGTATAGTCGGCTCCAGCAATACAATACATTGCAATTCTTGAATTCGGGGAGCCCCCAATTGCAGTCCCTTTGGCCAATCCATAGTACGATGCCCCACTGACGGGCATACCCGCCGCAATCGATGAAGTGAGCATTCCGTGCCCATACATGTCCCTTGCTGATGTCACACGGCCCGGATGTAAGGGATCGTCATAGAACCTTGCTCCAATAACTTTCCTATATTTATAAGTTACAAACCATAAAGATAATGTAACTACTTAAGTATTTAATGAAATAATCAAGAAAACAGAGATCATAACCAATCAGGGAGTTTCTACAGTGTTGGATTCTATTAAGACGTCGACTGCACATCTAAATCTTTTAAAAATAAGAGTTTTGTATAAAACAATATGCAAGTTGGATTACTCTTTTTTCAACAATAATAGTGGTGTTTTCTTAAAAATTTATGATACGTAAATTGTCTTCAAAATGGATTTGGACTGGTGCCACCGCTAACCGCTTCTCGTCAAGAGTTCCATTAACCTACAAAACGCACTTGGGATGGGTCCCGACAAAAAATCTCCAACGCTCAAATCATCTTTTTCTCGTTAATGCAATGAATAATGTATAGTATGGCTTAATAATGTGTTACGTCAAATGGAATCTAGTAACTTCCTTTTATATGGAAGTTATCCCCCTTGCCAAGTAGCCTCATTAAAAAATAAAAATAAAAATGAAGATCTTAGTGTATCTCGTTTCCTAGTATGGCACGTTCTAAAATCTCAAACTCCATAGAGAGGTATACTTTCCACCTTTACCAACATTACGTTCCCCCTTTTGCCACTACTCTTATGTCCTTAGGTCGTCCTAGAGATCTCACAAGCTAACAGTTGTTGGCACATACCAAGTGGAAATTATGACCTCCGCCTATGTGACCTTAAGGTCTCACCGACACCTAATTTGTTTGAGCTCCAATAAAAGCTCGACTCTTCATTTAGGTCGACTCGTACCTTGAGCTGCTCCATCGAGCTCCCTAAAGTGGTCTAACCTTGTCACTTATCTGAAAATTCCTTGAATCGACCACTCCCTAGCTAACAACTTAGGTCGATTCACCGAGATATCACAGGTGGTATATCATCTAGAGCCCCCTTCCCCTCTTCGC